TGCGCTTTGGTGCTTCCAAGTTTGCGGATTTATTTTTGGATCTTTCTTGTCGACCTGTGGGGCTTTGTATATAGCCTTGGATAGGGTCTAGCATCAGGCATGGGCAAACTTTGGCCCTCCAGGTGTTTTGGACTTCAACTCCCACAATTCCTAACAGCTGGTAGGTGTCCAAATGTTGTTCCAATGTTGCCGGTGATCTCCAAACATTGCAAGAGATTTAGGCTAGATCCTTGCAAGCGTTTGGGATCATAGACTATATGCCTGGATCTGGATAGACATTGGAGTTCTTTGCAGAGACGTTTGGGAAGGGATCTTGTCGAATTTGGTGCGTTTTGGTGCTCCAAAGCTTACGGATTTCGTTGGATCTTTCTTGTAAACTTGCAGGTCTTGGATGAGTTTTTTACAGCATTGCAACCATGATCTCCAAACGTTGCAAGAGATTTAACCTTGGGTTAGATCCTTGCGAGCGTTTGGGATCATAGACTATATCCCTGGATCTGGATAGACATTGGAGTTCTTTGCAAAGACTTTTGGGAAGAGATCTTGTTGAATTTGGTGTGTTTCGGTGCTCCAAAGCTTACAGATTTCCTTTGGATCTTTCTTGTAGACTTGAGGCTCTCGGATGAGATTTTTACAGCATTGCAACCATGATGGGAAGGGATTTTGTAGAATTTGATGCATTTCGGTGCTCCAAAGCTTCTGGATTTCCTTTGGATCATTCTTGTAGACTTGTGGGTCTTGGATGGGTTTTTTACAGCATTGCAATCGTAATCTCCAAATGCTGCATAAAATTTCACCTTGGGCTCGATCCTGGCAAGCGTTTGAGATCATAGAGGAACTTGACTATATGCCTGGATCTGGATAGACATTGGAGTTCTTTGCGGAGACTTTTGGGAAGGGATCTTGTAAAACTTGGTGCGTTTCGGTGCTCCAAAGCTTACAGATTTCCTTTGGATCTTTCTTGTAGACTTGTGGGTTTTGGATGAGTTTTTTACAGCATTGCAACCATAATCTTCAAATGTTGCATGAGATTTCACCTTAGGCTAGATCCTGGAAAGCGGTTAGGAACATAGACTATATGCTTGGATCTGGATAGACATTGGAGTTCTTTGTGGAGACTTTTGGGAAGGGATCTTGTAGAACTTGGTGTGTTTCGGTGCTCCAAAGCTTCCAGATTTCCTTTGGACTTTTCTTGTAGACTTGCGGGTCTTGGATGAGTTTTTTACAGCATTGCAACCGTGATCTCCAAATGTTGCAAGAGATTTCACCTTAGGCTAGATCTTTGCAAGCGTTTGGGATCATAAAGCAACTTGACTATATCCCTGGATCTGGATAGACATTGGAGTTCTTTGCAGAGACGTTTGGGATGGGATCTTGTAGAATTTGTTGCATTTCGGTGCTTCAAAGTTTGCACATTTCTTTTGGATCTTTCTTGTAGACGTGTGGGGCTTTGAAGATAACATCGGATGAGTTTTTCAAAGCATCGCAACCTCAAGGCTTCCTATTTTTGTCCAGCGGTCCGTTCCTATGTTGTTGTTGGTCTCCAAAAGTTGTATGGCATTACCTGGGGGCTGCATCCTTTTCCTGTGTGTTAATGTCACAGAAAGATGAAGTATAATAATAACAAATAAGCCTAGTTCCAAGAACAGAAGAAGGCGATACTTTGGAGCATTATTTCTCGCCTTTCAATCACAAGAGGTGGGGAAGTTTCTCCGTTTTGTAGGATTTCTGTTGCCGCAAAAGACATTCTGTATTATTGTATTGTCAAAGGCATTCACAGCCGGAATCACTGGGTTGCTGTGAGTTTTCCGAGCTGTATGGCCATGTTCCAGAAGCATTCTCTCTTGACATTTCATCCAGGCATCCTCAGGGATGGTGAGGAATGGCTTTGCAGCTTCAAAGCCTGGCTACTTCCTGCCCAGGGGAATCCTTTGTTGGGAGGTATTAGCTGGCCTTGATTGTGTCCTGTCTGGATTTCCCCTGTTTTCTGAGTGTTGCTTTTTATTTATTGTCCTGATTTTAGAGTTTTTTTTAAATACTGATACCCAGATTGTGTTCATTTTCATGGTTTCATCCTTTCTGTCGAAATTGTCCACATGCTTGTGGATTTCAGTGGCTTCTCTGTGTAGTCTGACATGGTGGTTGTGAGAGTGGTCCAGCATTTCTGTGTTCTCAAATAATATGCTGTGTCCAGGTTGGTTCATCTGCTATGGCTGACTTCTCTGGTGGAATTAGTCTGCAGTGCCTTTCATGTTCCTTGGTTCGTGTTTGGGTGATGCATTTGCTGGTCCCTATGTAGTCCCTATATATTCTTGTCCACAGCTTCATGGTATATGGTAGACTCCTCTCACCACCGTATACCATGCAGACAAGAATCAATCAGGGCCAGTTAACACCTCCCAACAACGGATTCCCCTAGGCAGCAGTCAGCCAGGCTTTGAAGCTGCAAGGCCATTAAATGCTAATCAAGCTGGCCAATTGCAACATTCATAGAATCATAGAATCAAAGAGTTGGAAGAGACCTCATGGACCATCCAGTCCAACCCCCTGCCAAGAAGCAGGAATATTGAATTTAAATCACCCCTGACAGATGGCCATCCAGCCTCTGTTTAAAGCCTCAAGCAGACAAGAGTTCTTTCTCTCACCCTGGACATCATTCCACAGACATATAAACCACACTTGCCTAGTTTCCAACAGATCCCCCCAACCTCCGAGGATGCCTGCCATAGATGTGGGTGAAACGTCAGGAGAGAATGCTTCTGGAACATGGCCATACAGCCCGGAAAACTCACGGCAACACATTCTGTATTGTTTCCTATTCGTTGCTTTGTCTTTTCTCTGAGTTGTGGGGGGTGGCAATGCATTTATAGGAAACCTATGGGCGTTCTCTCTGCAGCTCACGGAGCATGTGTTCGTATTATTTCCCAAACGTTGCCTGCAAGGTATGGGAACATGTTGCTGCAGGTTATTGTGGGGTGTCTTTGGGTCAGGGATGTGCTGCCAAACTCATGGAAACTCAAGAAGATATATCTTATTTATTTATTTATTTACAGGATTTATATTCCGTCCCTCTCACCTCAAAGGGGAACAGATCACAAAATGCATCTACGGCAAACATTCAATGCAGTTATACACTGGCAAGACAGACAATAGTATATAGATAGAGGTATATAAATGGGCTTTCCAATCTTCGGCATCTTGGAGGCTGTGCTCGATTCTGTCCATGGGGGGTGCTGTTGCTCCACTTTCCCTGCTGATAAAATCCCCGGCATTTTTCTGGCATTTCCTTATGGGTGCCTTAAATCCCTCCTCGCTTAAGCGGGACCTATTTATCTACTCACATTGCTGTTTTTGAAACTGCTAGGTAGGCAGAAGCTGGGCTAAAGGCCAGGAGCTCACCCTACCTAGGCTTCAAACTGTCAACCTTTTGGTTGGCAAGATTTACTGCAGCCAGGGGCGGCTCGTCCATTACGCGAAGTAAGCGGTCGCAGAACTCTTTTTTGCCAGGGGCGCAGAGGCGCCTCTGTAAATGCCCCTCGACTGCCACTTGAGGAGCGCCCCCTCAGCTCACAACAGCCCTAGCAGTCCGGGGGGAGCCTCGGCTTTCTTGCCTCGCTGCCGGGCGATCCTCTTCCCAAAGGGGCCGGGCCCTTGAGCCTCGCCTAGCCCTTTGTTCCTGCTCCATCCAGCCACTGGATGCGCGAGCAGAGCCAGCGCTCAATCGTTCTCCGCATTTGATCCTTTCCCCATGACCAGCTCCCTTTCTCGATCCCCCGGCGCTCCACCCGCCTCCTCTCCTCTCCCCAATCCGCGGGTGGGCCAAGGGGCGGAGCCGCCGCGCCTGGCCCGCTTCGGGTCCGGAGGCGTGTCTGAAGACCCCAGCTTGCGCACCAAAAGTCGCCTCTTCTCCTGACTTTCTCTTCAGCCATTGGGACCAAGAGAGAGAGAGAGAGAGCCCCTCCGGCTGGAGGTATCTCCTACCTCCGCTCCCTCCTTTGTTTTTGTGCCTACCTTCAGGAAAGGTGGGCATCTCTACCTCTCTCTCTCTCTCTCTCTGGTCCCAATGGCTGAGGAGAAAGTCAGGAGAAGAGGTGACTTTTGGTGCACACGCCGGGGTCTTCAGGCACGCCTCCGGACCCAAAGCGGGCCAGGCAAGGGAGCAAGTGCGGCAAGTGTAGTTACTGGGATGTATAGTTCACCTACAATCAAAGAGCATTCTGAACTCCACCAATGATGGAATTGAACCAAATATGGCACACAGAACTCCCACGACGAACAGAAAATATGTATCAGTGATTGGTGGGGGGGGGGGGGGCAAAATACTGTTTGCTTACCGTTGAAAATTACCTAGGGCCGCCTCTGACTGCAGCTGGAAAGGACCAAGCAAAGTAAAGGACTAAGCAAAGTGACCCACGGCATAGCGAACGCAGCAAATAGAAACGTCGTGGATGTGGATGCTTGCCAGGCTTTCTCTTTTTGCAATGCTAGGAATTTGGGAAATAAAGGAAATTTCATGAGGGTGGGTGCAGAATTCGTATCTGGGTGGCAATGCCCGCATTTCCCCTTTCTACATGTCAATTGACAAAGACTGCTTTGAAAGCATGCCATGGGTTCTTTCGACAGCAGAGTTTATAATGGGCATATCACAAAGAATGATTTTTTGAGTGGCAGTTCCTTAATTTTTTTATAAGTAAAGCTATGGTTTCCTTCTCTGTGGCTCAAAGCTAGGAAAAGTGTGCATTTTGGAACACAATGCCAATAACACTAGGAGAGGCGGGTAATCAATTGTTTTTATTATTGTATTGTCGAAGGCTTTCATGGCCGGAATCACTGGGTTTTTGTAGGTTTTTTCGGGCTATATGGCCATGTTCTAGAGGCATTCTCTTCTGACGTTTCGCCTGCATCTATGGCAAGCATCCTCAGAGGTAGTGAGGTCTGTTGGAACTAGGAAAAAGGGTTTATATATCTGTGGAATGACCATTCCCTTTTTACCTTTGCAGGTCAACCACCGAAATCCGGAAGGAGAAGTCGCGAGACGCGGCACGATGCCGGCGCAGCAAAGAGACAGAAGTCTTCTACCAGCTGGCGCATACCTTGCCCTTTGCCCGGGGGGTCAGCGCCCACCTAGACAAGGCGTCCATCATGCGCTTGACTATCAGCTACCTGAGAATGCACAAAATGTTGAACTCCGGTGAGTGATGCATCTCCACTTCCACTTGCCTCCTTTCTGGAGGGAAAATAAGTTAACAGGTGGAATCTGTTCTAGGACACAATGGAGCTATGGATTCAAATTGCACACTGAGGCTTCTCTCACAGACTTAGGCCTACCCCACATAGATATACTAACGACTACCTCACACAGTGAGGCCTTCTCTCACAGATTAAGGCCTATCTCACACAGACACTTCTCTCAAAGACTAATGCCTACCTCACATAGATGCTTCTCTCACAGACTAAGGCCTACCTCATGCAGAAGCTTATCTCACAGACTAGGTCCTACCTCACACAGAGATTTCTCTCACAGACTAAAGCCTACCTCACACAGAGGCTTCTCTCACAGACTAAGGCCTACCTCTCACTGAGGCAAACTAACAGAAAATCCTACTAAGCTACAGGCACACCTGCTTATATGGAGCTGCAGCTTTTCCTGAATCATTACATCCATTTAACCCTTTCAGTGCTTGAGTCTCATTTTGTAATTAAAAATACCTAGTTAATTTGTAATATTTCTGACATGGATTGTGTCCTCCTGCCTGGAAGTTGGTTGGATTGAATGGTCCTTCTAGTTCTACCATTCTATACTTGGAACTATATCTCCATGGAATGATGATGGTGATGATGTTTATTTATTTATACCCTGGATTGTGTCCTCCTGCTTGGAAGATGGTTGGATTGGATGGTCCTTCTACGATTCTATACTTAGAACTATATGTTGTATCTCCATGGAATGATGATGGTGATGATGTTTATTTATGTAAATATGCAAACACTAAAACAGGATTAAACGTAAACAGTTCTGTTGTTCAATCCCTGCAAAACAGGTGAATGGAGGGACGAGGTGGAGGCAGAAGAACAGGTCGATGGTTATTACCTGAAGGCCTTGGATGGCTTCCTGATGGTCCTGACGGAGGAAGGAGACATGATCTACCTTTCAGAGAATGTCAACAAACACCTGGGACTCAGCCAGGTAAGAGAAATGCAACCGGTGATGCATCTACATCAGGCGTGGGCAAAATTGGGCCCTCCAGGTGTTTTGGACTTTCACTGAAGCTTCTCAAACCAGGCCTTCTCATACTCTGAGGCCTTCTCACAGACTAAGGCCGACCTCACACAGAGGCTTCTCTCACAAAGGTCTACTTCACACAGAGGCTTCTCTCACAGACTAAGACCTGCCTCTCACAGAGGCTTCTCTCACAGATTAAGTCCTTCCTAACACAGAGGCTTCTCTCATAGACTAAGATCTACCTCTCACAGAGGCTTCTCTCACAGATTAAGTCCTTCCTAACACAGAGGCTTCTCTCATAGACTAAGATCTACCTCTCACAGAGGCTTCTCTCACAGATTAAGCCCTTCCTAACACAGAGGCTTCTCCCACAGACTAAGACCTACCTCTCACAGAGGCTTCTCTCTTAGATTAAGTCCTTCCTAACACACAGGCTTCTCTCACAGACTAAGACCTACCTCTCACAGAGGCTTCTCTCTTAGATTAAGTCCTTCCTAACACACAGGCTTCTCTCACAGACTAAGACCTACCTCTCACAGAGGCTTCTCTCACAGATTAAGTCCTTCCTAACACACAGGCTTCTCTCACAGCCAGCAGGCTGTTAGAAATTGTGGGAGTTGAAGTCCAAAACACCTGGAGGGCCCAAGTTTACCCATGCCTGATCTACATTGCAGAATTAATGCAGTTTGACACCACTTTAAGTGCCATACCTCAATGCTGTGGCTTTAGTTTTATAAATGTGTAACTTTCTCTGTCAAAGAGTGATTGTGTCCTACCAAACTGCCATGGCATTGAGATGTGGTGGTTAAAGTGGTGTCAAACTGCATTAATTCTGCAATGTAGATGCATTAGTGTTCAGTTCAGATGGAATACTATTCTAAACAGAAGTAAAAATAAATTTTGATGCTTTTCTAACTCTGCTGAAGGAGGAAGTGAGCCGGAAAATCACATGGCGATGCTTTACCGAGGTCTCCTGATGCCAAGATGAATGCAGGCTCTTATCTCTCGCTATCTGCAATGGGAAACAGTGTCCCTTTATGACGGAGTCTTCCTTCCTTGCAGAACTGGTTCATATATCTTTTAAAACGGATTGGGCAATTTTTCAGACCAGAAACAAAGACCTCATTTTGTGCCTGGATTTTTTTTTAATACGAAAACAACGTGCCTCTTTCAACCATCCATCGCCGAGTTTGGAAAATAATAATTTTCCACCAAGAGCAGCTCAATTTTTGAATGGATTATTGTGCTTAATTTTGAAATGCAATGGTATCTTCGGCTTAATTCATTCTTTATGATCGGTTTTGTTCATAACGAGGAAATCTTTTCAATCAGTCTGAATATTAGGAAAAACTGAATATTAGGAGGGAGAAAGAGGGAAGGAAGGGAAGATGGAAGGGAGGAAGGGAAAGGGAAGGGAAGGGAGGAGGAAAGGAGAAGGAAGAGGAAAAGGGAAGGAAGAAGGGGAAAGAGAGAGGGGGAGAGGGAGAAAGGAAAGAGGAAGGAGGGTGGAAGGGAAGGAAGGAGGAGAAAGAGGGAGGGAAAGGAAGGGAAGGAGTTGAAGAAGGAGAGGGAAGGGAAGGGAGAAAGAGAGAAGGAAGAAAGAAGAGGAAAGAAGAAAGGAAGGAGAGAAAGAGAAAGAGAGAGGGAGGAAGGAGAAAGAGGGAAAGAAGGAAGGGGAGGAGAAGGAAAGAAAGAGAGAGGAAGGAAGGAAGGAGGAAGGAAGGAAGGAAGAAGGAGAGGAAAGAGGGGGAAGGAGAAAGGAAAGAGAGAAGAGAAGGTGGAAAGGGGGAAAAAGAGTGAAAGGGAAGGAGGTAGGAAGGAGGAAGAGGGAGAGAGGGAAAGAAGGAAAGAAGGACGAAGGAGTGGAAGGGAAAGAGAATGAGATAGGGAAGGGAAGGAAGGAAGAAGGCAAGAGAGAAGGAAGGAAGGATAGGAGGTGTGAGAGAGGAGGGCCTGGGTACTTAACCTTGGGTTTGAGGAATGAAGAAAGGGAAAAAAAAGAGAGTGGGGGATGGAGGATCTGGAGAAGAAGGAATGCATAGAAAGTATGGTGATACAAGGGAAGAGGATGGCGATAGACGAGGGGAGGTAAGGATGAGGAGGAAGGAAGGAAGGTCTTAGTTAGAAAATGGGAATGAATGAAGTAAAGAAAGACAAGATGTAAAAGAGAGAAGTAGTCAGTCAGAAGAAAGGAGATGAAGGGGAAAGCAAGGAGGACAAAGAGAGAGAGAGGGAAAAAGGGAAGAAGAGGAGAGAAAGAACAACGCAAGGCAGTGAGTGAAGGAGGGGGGAGAGGGAAGGAGAAAGAGGAGGGAAGAAGGGAAGAGGAAGGAAAGAGAGAGGGAAGGAAGGAGGTGGAGAAGAAGGGAGGAAAGAGAGAGGAAGGAAGACAAAAGTGGAGGGAGGAAAGAGAAAGAGACACAGGGAGGTAGGGAGGAAAGAGGGAAAGAAGGAAGGACAAAAGGGTGGCAGGGAAGGAAAGAGAGAGAAAGAGGGAGGGAAAAGAAGGATAGAGGAAGGAAGGAAGGTTGGAAGGGAGAGAAGGGAGGGGGAGGAAAGAGAGGAGGAAAGAAAGACAAAAGGAAGGAAGAGAAGGAAGAGAAGGAAGGAAGGAGGGAGAAAGAGGAAAGGGGAAGGAAAGGAGAGAGAGAAAGAGGGAAAGAAGGAGGAGGGAGAAGAAGGGAAGAATGGAAGGAAGGGGAAGGAAGGGAAGGAAGAGGAGGAGGAGAAAGAAGAAGGAAGGAAAGAAGAAGGGAAAGAAGGAGAAGAAAGGAGAGGAAGGAGGAAAGAGGAGGGAAGAAGGAAAGGGTGGAAGAGAAAGAAGGAGAAGGAAAAGGGGGAAGGGAAGGATGGAAGGAGGAAAGTAGGAAGAAAAGTAGGAAGAGAAGAATGGAAGGAGGGGTGGAAGGGAATGGGAGGAAGGAGGGAGGGAGGAAAGAGAGAAGGAAGGAAAGACAAAAGTAAAGGAAGGAAGGAGAAAGAGAGAGGGAAGGAGGGAGGAAAGAGGGAAGGAAGGATGAAAGGGTGGAAGGGAAGGAAGGGGGGAGGTAAGGAAAGAAAGGAAAGATGGAAGGAAAGAGAGAAGGAAGGATAGGATGATGAGAGAGAGTAGGGCCTGAGAAAAGAGCCTAAAGTGCCACATCCAGCCTCCGGGCCTGCATTTGCCCGTATTTGGCGTAGATCATCCACTAAGGAGACCAAGGCTGTCTCAGTCCCATGACCTGGTCCATGACGTCTTCAACGTAGGCTGAAACTGCATTAAATGCTCAGTGTAGACTCATATAATGCAGTTTCAAACTGCATTTTATGAGTCTACACTCACCATACAATGCATTTTCAAATGGCATTATATGGCAGCGTAGATGGAGCCGTTGGGTGGGTCTACACTGCAGAATTAATGCACCTTAAGCCAACTTTAAACACCATTGCTCAATTCTATGGAATCATGGACATTGTAGAAGCCTTTAGCCTTTTGAGCAGACTACAAATTCCAGGATTGCCAAACATAGAGGCATGGCAGTTCAAATGGTGTCAAACTGCATTAACTTGACAGTGTAGATGCACTTTATCTTTCCTTTTCAAAAAACGTGCTCCTGCAGATGAGGAAAGCTGATCTTAAACAAATGTGTGTTATTTATTATTGAACACATTTATCAATATTATTATCATCATTTAATAATAAAATATTTAAATACTAATTAACATTATTATTATTTAAAAATAATTAAATAATATTTAATTATCAGAGAACATATTTATCAATATTATTATCATCATTTAATAATAAAATGTTTAAATAATATTATTATTCGCATTTAATAATTAAATAATATTTAATTATTATTAAACATATTTATCAATATTATCATCATTTAATAATAACATATTTAAATATTAATAATTAATATTATTATTATTATTTAATAATAATCAAATAATATTTAATTATTATTGAACATATTTATCAATATTATTATTATAATTTAATAATAAAATATTTAAATAATGATGATGATTTAATAATAATTGAATAATATTTAATTATTATAGAACACATTTATCAATATTATTATTATCATTTAATAATAAAATATTCAAATAATAATAATAATTAATAATATTATTTAATAATAATTAAATAGTATTTAATTATTATAGAACATATTCATCAATATTATCATCATCAATTTAATAATAAAATATTTAAATAATAATAATTAAATAACATTTAATTATTATAGAACATATTTATCAATATTACTATTATCATAATTTAATAATAAAATATTTAAATAATAATTAATAATATTATCAATATTTAATAATAACATATTTTAATAATAATAGTAATAATAATATTTTATTATTTAATAATCAAATAATATTTAATTAGTATTGAAAATATTTATCAATATTATTATCATCAATTTAATAATAAAATATGTAAATAATAATAATTAAATAATATTTAATTATTATAGAACATATTCATCATCATTTACTTATTATTATCATCATTTAATAATATTATCATCATTTAATAATCAAATATTTAAATAATAATAATAGTAATAATATTTTATTATTTAATAATCAAATATTTAATTAGTATTGAAAATATTTATCAATATTATTATTATTATCATCAATTTAATAATAAAATATTTAAATAATAATAATTAAATAACATTTAATTATTATAGAACATATTTATCAATATTATTATTATCATAATTTAATAATAAAATATTAAAATAATAATGAATAGTAATATGCTGTTGTTTCTCTCTTGAAGAAGCTCAAAGCAGCAATATCTCATAGATATCTTGGCTGCTGCAAATGACAATTTTGGAAATATATCTTATATTTTTTGGCACGGTCCTCTTTTATTTTCCAAGCAAAACATGCTCCTGCGAGTGACGAAAGCTGATCTCGAACAAACGTGTTTGATTTATTGCCGAAACGCACGTAGAAATCTTGGCAATTGGAAAGGACGATTTAAGCTTCTTTTTTTTAATGTACTGATTGCGAGAACCGTTTGCTGCAAGCCGTCAACATCTATTTAAAACCTCAAGTTAAAAAAAAGCAACCAAGAGTTGATGGCGCAAAAGAGAGAAATATCTCCTATGCGTGGAGGTCACAAACCTGCAGGAAAAAAACTGCCCTGTCTCCCAATTTCTTAATGGCAATACGTGGGAAGCTAGGGAACACAGGGAGGGGTGAGGGTGCCTCCTGATTGGCTGCCTCCAAGGAGTCCTAGCCAATCGGATCGCTCCGAGCAGAATCCCCGTTTATTTTCAGGGCACGTGTTGCAGCATCTGGTGTTGTGCTCACCCAGGGCTTGTGCGCTGCCTCCAGCCTACGCTTTTGGATATTTCTGATCCCCCTTTTTTTCCCCCTCCTCGTCTTTTTTTCTTCCTTTTTCTCCGCTAGCTGGAGCTCATTGGCCACAGCGTCTTTGACTTCATTCATCCCTGCGATCAGGAGGAGCTGCAAGACGTATTAAGCCCCCGGCAAGGTGGGAAGGCGTTCTGCGTCCTTTTCTTGGATCCTCGTAGATTGCGGAGCCGTTTTTAATTGCATGGTGTCGGTCTTTGCAATTAGCTGCCTTGATAAAAAAATAAATAAAAGTAAATAAAGTACATAAACAAAACAGCACAGGCCAAGGACACTGTAAAATAACGTAAATAAAGTAAATAAAATACATAAACAAAACAGACAAGACCACTATACGTGCCTATATTAAGAAGAAATTGCAAATAATTTTGCCTGGGTTTGGAATAGTAGGAAGAAGTCATGCAAAGTGAACACAAAGGAAGGATAATAATAATAATCTATATAAATAAAAATGTAAAAGTAAATAAAATACATAAACAAAACAGCCAAGACCACTATATGTGCCTATATTAAGAAGAGATTGCAAATAGTTTTTCCCTGGGTTTGCAATAGTAGGAAGAAGTCATGCAAGGTGAACACAAATGAAAGATAATAATAATAATAATAATAACTTTATTTATACCCCGCCACCATCTCCCCAAGAGGACTCGGAGCGGCTTACATGAGGGTAAGCCCAACAACACATCAATAAAAACAACAAGCAATAAGCAAATAAAACAATACAATTAATATAACTCAACATATAGACAATAACACGCAAGGGTTTAAAAACCTATGGCCGGGCCAGGTGGGCATGAACAGAGGTAGGTAGGATCCAACGCAAGGCCCGCGGGCCAAGTGCAGCCCACCATGTCCTCTTATTTGGCCCTCCTCCAGATGCTGAACTACAACTCCTGTCTTCCTCATCATTAGACATCATGATTAGAGCTGATGGGAGTTGTAATCCAGGAACACATAGAAGGCGCCAAAACTACTATACGTGCCTATATTAAGAAGAAATTGCAAATAATTTCCCCTGGGTTTGCAATAGTAGGAAGAAGTAATGCAAGGTGAACACAAATGAAGTATGGTGTATGCATCCAACGCAAGGCCCGCGGGTCAAGTGCAGCCCGCCATGTCGTTTTTCGTGGCCCTCCTCCAGATCCTGGACTACAACTCCTGTCTTCCTCATCATTAGACATCGTGATTAGAGCTGATAGGAATTGTGGGAGTTGTGATGCAGGAACATCTGGAAGGCTGCTGTTTGTTCTACTGAATCAATAATATAGATCAAGCATGGGCAAACTTTGGTCCTCTAGGTGTTTTGAACTCCAACTCCCACAATTCTTAACATAAACATAAACATGAACATCATCCCCATTCCCATCATGGAAATCAACATCAACATGAACATCATCCCCATTCCCATCATAGAAATCAACATCAACATGAACATCATCTCCATTCCCATCATGGAAATCAACATGAACATAAACATCATCCCCATTTCCATCATGGAAATCAACATCAATATCATCCCCATTCCCATCATGGAAATCAACATCAACATGAACATCATCCCCATTCCCATCATGCATATCAACATGAACATGAACATCATCAACATTCCCATCATGGAAATCAACATCAACATCATCCCCATTCCCATCATGGAAATCAACGAGACCATCATCCCCATTCCCATCCCCATGGGAATCAGAATGATCATGAGACACAATCACAGGCTGAACAGGCTGACATACAACAATCTGGCCATAGAGTGTCCCCAGCTTCAGGACCACAAATGATGTTGGGTTGCAATTCCCATTATCCCCAGTCCACATAATCAGAAGCGGACTGGGGATAATGTATCCCCAGTATCCATGGATTCTCTGTCCATGGATTCAATGGCTCTTTGAAGGCAACCCTGCGCTGATGTGGCCATTGGTGGAAATGAGTTTGCCATCTCGAAGTATGAAGTAGTGCGTGTTTTATCATTCCAGGTTTCTCTAAGAAGAAAGAAGTCAAGACGGAGCGCAGTTTTTCGGTGCGCATGAAGAGCACTCTCACCACCAGGGGGCGCACCGTCAACCTCAAGTCTGCCACTTGGAAAGTGAGTCTACACTGCAGAATTATTGCAGTTCAACATCGGTTTAACCCTGGCTATGGAATCCTGGGAGTTGTACATCGATGTGGCTCCAGCACTCTTCGGCAGAAAAAACTCAAGACTTTGTAAAACTACAACTCCATGATTCCATAGCCTTGGGCCATCGTAGATCAAGTCGTATCAAACTGCATTAATATAATAGTATAGACGCACCTTTTTTGGTTGTGGGAGGAAAGTGATATTTCTCAGCTTAGCTTAAAAGAGGCAAGGGAAGAAGCCTTCATGCGCAGCTTCCACTAGGGTCTCCTTTTTTTGTCTATCTTCATAGGTGTTGCATTGCGCCGGGCACATGCGGACTTATGCGCCCCCCAAGCCTGCGGCTGGGAAGGAGACGGAGGGTGGGTTTACGGAGCCCCCTTTGCGGTGCCTAGTGCTGATCTGTGAGGCCATCCCGCACCCGGCCAACATTGAGACCCCACTGGACAGCGGCACCTTCCTCAGCCGCCATACAATGGACATGAAGTTTACCTACTGCGACGACAGGTTGGCGGAGGACAACTATTTATTTTTCAATTTCATTTTGGAGTCTTAGTAGACCTCAAGCTGAACATGAACCAAGAGTGTGATGTGTTAGGGATTCCTAATCTTTGGAGGAGGAAGGGGAGCAGGGAAGTGCTCAGGAATTGGAGGGAGAAGAAGAATCAGACGATGAGGGTTTGAAAGTGCCCACATTTCTAAAGAGACAGAACACAGACGGCGGTCAGCTAGGATAGCTGCTAAAAATGCTGAGCTAATTGGGAGACACCCTAGCACCTCCTGCGTGGGGAATTCAGGGCTTTAAATCAGTAGTAGAAGCAGAAGCATCAGACGATGAGGGTTTGAAAGTACCCACATTTCTAAAGAGACAGAACACAGACGGCGGTCAGCTAAGACAGCTGCTAAAAACGCTGAGCTAATTGGGAAACGCCCTAGCACCTCCTGCGTGGGGAATTCAGGGCTATAAATCAGTAGGAGAAGCAGAAGCATCAGACGATGAGGGTTTGAAAGTACCCACATTTCTAAAGAGACAGGACACAGACGGCGGTCAGCTAAGACAGCTGCTAAAAACGCTGCGCTAATTGGGAGACACCCTAGCACCTCCTGCGTGGGGAATTCAGGGCTATAAATCAGTAGTAGAAGCAATCAGCTTTAGCTGGTAACAACAACCCTGATACTGCGGTTTTGACTCCAACGGAATCTGTTGGAAGTGCTCAGGAATTGGAGGGAGAAGAAGAATCAGATGATGAGGGTTTGAAAGTGCTCACATTTCTAAAGAGACAGAACACAGACGGCGGTCAGCTAGGATATCTGCTAAAAACGCTGAGCTAATTGGGAGACACCCTAGCACCTCCTGCGTGGGGAATTCAGGGCTATAAATCAGTAGTAGAAGCAGTGAGCTTTCGCTAGTAACAACGACCCTGATACTTCTGTTTTCACTCCCAACGGAATCTGTTGAAGTACAACTCCCAAACTCAAGGTCAATGCCCACCAAACTCTTCCAGTATTTTCTGTTGGTCATGGGAGTTCAGTGTGCCAAGTTTGGTTCGATTCCATTGTTGGTAGAATTCAGAATGCTCTTTGACTGTGGGTGAACTATAAATCCCAGCAACTACAACTCCCATATGTCAAGCTCTATTTTCCCCAAACTTCACCAGTGTTCACAATTGGGCATATTGAGTACTCATGCCAAGTTTGGTCCAGATCCATCATTGTTTGAGTCCAAAGAGATCTCTGGACGTAGCTGAACTACATCTCCAAAACTCAAGGCCAATGCGCACCAAACGCTTCTAGTATTGGTCAAGGGAGTTCTGTGTGCCAAGTTTGGTTCAATTCCATCGTTGGTAGAACTCAGAATTCTCTTTTGATTGTGAGTTAACTATAAATCCCAGAAACTACAACTCCCAAATGACAAAATCAATCTCCCCCAACCTTTCTAGTATTGGTCAAGGGAGTTCTGTGTTCCAAGTTTGGTTCAATTCCATCTTTGGTAGAACTCAGAATGCTCTTTTGATTGTGAGTTAACTATAAATCCCAGAAACTACAACTCCCAAATGACAAAAACCCCACCAAATTTGAGTATGTGTGCCAAATTTGGTCCAATGAATGAAAATACATCCTGCATATCCGATATTTACATTCACAATTCACAACAGTAGCAAAATTACAGTTGTGAAGTAGCAATGAACATAATGTCATGGTTGGGGGTTACCACAACATGAGGAACCGTATTAAGGGGTCGCAGCATTGGGAAGGTTGAGAAACACTGTTCTAGAAGCATTCTCTCCTGACGTTTCGCCTCCATCTATGGCAGGCATCCTCAGAGGTTGTGAGGTTGTGATAAGGTTAGAGGACATGGATAAAGAGATGTTTGGGGAGTTGAGACAAGTGTCACAAAGGCTGCCTTGGGGTCAGATGTGTGGCTGCGCCTTGCTCTAAATGTCTATTCCGGCTGAAATAACAGCCTCACCCATGACAGATGTGTATCATCGTCTCCTCTCTGGGTGTCTCTCCTTCTCTGGGCAGGATTGCCGAAGTGGCCGGCTACACCCCTGAAGACCTGCTGGGCTGCTCCATGTACGAATACATCCACGCCCTGGATTCGGATGCCGTCAGCAAGAGCATCAACACCCGTACGTCATGCTCATAAGTAAAATGTGAACTTTCCCCAGGTGCATCTGCATCTTTCACGCTTTCCCTATATCTGGCCTTCCAAGGGTTTTGGATTTCAACTCCTAGAATTCCTAGTCATTGACCCAAGCAAGCTGAGGCTTCTGGGAGCTCCAAAAATATATACAATATAATATATAGAAATAATAAAATTCTAATATAATAATCTATATAAACACAAATATAATGTTCGTTTGTGGGATTAACATAACTCAAAAACCACCAAAATTTGGACACAAGACACCTATTAGGCCAGCGAGTGACCATCACCCCTAAAAACACACAGAAAACCAGCAGAATGGACTTTAAAACCCTCCCAAAATAAACCAAATATACATATATATATTCGTATACATATACACAAGCACACATACAGACAGAAACACACATATATATACACAAGCACACACAAATATGCACATATAAACACCTACATATACACCTACACACATATACACATACATGCACATACACAAGCACACACATATATGCAATATACATATATAAACACAGAAATATACATATACGCATGCACACATACATACAGACACACATATATACGCAAGCACACACAAATCTACACATATGCACACCTACATATACACCTACACACATACATACACACATATATGCATATACACAAGCACACACATATACACAATATACATATACACATATAAACACAGAAATATACATATACGCATGCACACATACATACACACACACATATATACACAAGCACACAAATATACACACATAAACACCTACATGTACACCTACACACATATACACATACATACACACATATATTCATATACACAAGCACACACATATACACAATATACATATATAAACACAGAAATATACATATATGCATGCACACATACATTCAGACACACATATATATGCAAGCACACACAAATCTACACATATGCACACCTACATATACACCTACACACATATATGCATATACACAAGCACACACATATACACAATATACATATATAAACACAGAAATATACGTATACGCATGCACACACATATACACAATATACACATATAAACACAGAAATATACATATACACATGCACACATACATAGAGGCACACATATATACGCAAGCACACACAAATATACACACCTACATATATACCTACACACATATACACATACATACACACATATATGCATATACACAAACACACACATATACACAATATACATTTACACATATAAACACAGAAATATACATATACGCATGCACACATACATGCAGACACACATATATATGCAAGCACACACAAATCTACACATATGCACACCTACATATACACTTACACACGTATATACACACATATTGATATACACAAGCACACACATATACACAATATACATATACACATATAAACACAAATATATACACATATATACACACATATTTATTTATTTATTTATTTACTTTGCTTATATACCGCTGTTCTCAGCCCGGGGGCGACTCACAGCAGTGTACAACATAGAAGGACAAGGTTCAAAATTCAGACACAATCTAAAATATCAATATAGCAATAACCAAAACATCATCATAAAAAACATCAACAATATCAATAATACAAAAAGCCATTCTCGTCGTCTCATCATTTATACATACACACAAACACACATATATACATACATACACACATATATGCATATACACAAGCACATACATACACAATATACATATACACATATAAACACAGAAATATACATATATGCATGCACACATACATACAGACACACATATATACACAAGCACACACAAATATACACATACAGTATACACGCATATACATATACACCAACACGCATATATACACACATATATGGATATACGCAAGCACACACATATACACAATATACATATACACATATAAACACAAATACACAAATATATACACATGTATACATAGATATACATACACACTAACACACATATATACACAAATATATACACATATATACACATACAAAACACATATTCACAGACTGGGCCACAACAACGCATGGCAGGGGACGGCTAGTACTAATATATATATACTATTAATAATTTTGCAATATTAGGCATGGTTATGTCCAGTTGGAATCTTCGTTATTCGGAATAAAGTCGGAAAAATTCCTTTTTGAAGCAATTTCAAAGTTTTTAAGAAAACCGGAAGTTCCTTTGCCCTTCCAAAGCTTTTTCACCATTTTTGTTATGACTCACAAAGTAAGTCAGAAATTATTCAGCTTTTCCCTGCTTCTGGTTCCTGGCCTCAGCTCAGGCCAGAGAAGCCAGTTTTAAATCCAGAGAAGCGAGTTATAAACCAGAGAAGCATGAATTTGCTCTGCTTCTGTCTCAAGCCAGAGAAGCCAGCCAGTTTTAAAGCCAGAGAAGTGAGTTATAAACCAGAGAAATACGAGTTTGCTCTGCTTCTGTCTCAAGCCAGAGAAGTCAGCCAGTTTTAAAGCCAGAGAAGCGAGTTATAAACCAGAGAAGCATGAATCTGCTCTGCTTCTGTCTCAAGCCAGAGAAGCCAGCCAGAGAAGCGAATTATAAACCAGAGAAGCATGAATTTGCTCTGCTTCTGTCTCAAACCAGAGAAGCCAGCCAGTTTTAAAGCCAGAGAAGTGAGTTATAATCCAGAGAAGTATGAATTTGCTCTGCTTCTGTCTCAAGCCAGAAAAGCTAGCCAGTTTTAAAGCCAGAGAAGTGAGTTATAAACCAGATTAGTATGCATTTGCTCTGCTTCTGTCTCAAGCCAGAGAAGCCAGCCAGTTTAAAGCCAGAGAAATGAGTTATAACCCAGAGAAATATGAATTTGCTCTGCTTCTGTCTCAAGCCAGAGAAGCCAGCCAGTTTAAAGCCAGAGAAATGAGTTATCATCCAGAGAAATATGAATTTGCTCTGCTTCTGTCTCAAGCCAGAGAAGCCAGCCAGTTTAAAGCCAGAGAAGTGAGTTATAATCCAGAGAAGCCAGCCAGTTTTAGAGCCAGAGAAGTGAGTTATAAACCCGAGAAGCATGAATTTGCTCTGCTACTGTCTCAAGCCAGAGAAGCCAGCCAGTTTTAAAGCCAGAGAAGCGAGTTATAAACCGGAGAAGTATGAGTTTGCTCTGCTTCTGTCTCAAGCCAGAGAAGCCAGTTTAAAAGCCAGAGAAGGAAGGAATTTCCTCCGCTTGCTTTTCCCCGCTCCTGGAGTAAAAAAAAACAACTACTTTCAAAGTAAAGACCATGCAATGAAACAGGAAATAATACTTTCAAACTATTAACGAAAGGATTCAGAAGTTTTGAAAAGTTTTGAACTTTTTTTCTGTGAAAATCGGAACTGATTTTAGAATCGATCCACCGGCGCCCCCTACATCTGAAACGAGTTTTGAACCATTTTTTTTAATCAAACAAGCCTATAATATACTATATGAGCTGCTGAACTTGCTGACTGGAAGGTTGGTGGTTCGAATTCAGGGAGCGGGGTGAGCTCCGGCTATTAGCTCCAGCTTCTGCCAACCCAGCAGTTCGAAAAGCAGATTCATGCTTCTCTGGTTTATAACTCGCTTCTCTAGCTTTAAAACTGGCTGACTTATCTGGCTTGAGACAGAAGCAGAGCAGATTCATGCTTTTCTGGTTTATAATTCGCTTCTCTGGCTGGCTTCTCTGGGGAAGGTAACGGCGCTCCATGCAGTCATGCTGGGCGCATGACCTTGGGTGTGTCTGCAGACAATGCTGGCTCTTTGGCTTAGAAATGGAGATGAGCACCACACCCCTTGAGTCGGACACAACTAGACTTAATGTCAAGGGAAATCTTTACCTGTACTTTAAAATAATATATATGATATAATACAATATATTATGTAATACCAAGAGTACTATATAGCAAGGCAAGTTCTGGGAAATACTGGAGGGGGACGAAGTTGCGAGACGGCGAGCGAATCCCGTTCGGCCGTTCAGGTCTCCTCCCGTCCACCGGCTCATCCGCCTGTCTGTCTGTTCTAGACTGTCTGTCTTTCCCTCCCTATTGCTAGTGCTGAGCAAAGGGCAGGCCGTGACGGGGCAATACCGCTTCCTGGCCAGGAAGGGTGGCTACCTCTGGACCCAGACCCAGGCCACCGTCATCTCCAGCAGCAAGAACTCCCAGCCGGAGAGCATCATCTGCGTCCACTACATTCTCAGGTAAGGCAGCAGGGCAGGCCTCTCCGCATCATAGATATGTAGCATGACCATAGCTTGTAAATATGGACATTTTCACATACCCATGTTTGATATTGTCCAGCTGTAGTATGCCCAGATATTTATGGGCTTCAGGCTGATTGCACTTTATGGCTTGTCTATTTGGCATCTCTATGCCCTAGATGTTGATGATTATGGTTGTTGTTGTTGTATTGTCGAAGGCTTTCATGGCCGGAATCACTGTAGGTTTTTTCGGATTGCCCTAGGCACTGCCAGGCCATCAAATGCTAATCAAGGTGGTCAGTTGAAACATTCACACCTAGCTCCAGCAGACAAGAGTTCTTTGTCCCACCCTGGTCATTCCACAGATAAATAAACCCATTTTCCTAGTTCCAACAGACCTCACTATGCTTGCCATAGATGCAGGCGAAACGTCAGGAAGGAATGCCTCTAGAATATGGCCATATAGCCCGAAAAAACCTACAACAACCCTGTTGTTGTTGTTGTTGTTGTTGTTGTAATTATTATTATTATTTCCAGTTGTTGTTGTTGTTATTGTTACACAAAAACACAGTATGTCACAGCAAACAAGATATATATGCTGGATTTCGTATCACAAAATTGCTAAAATTGTAGTTGTTAAACTACAACTCCCAGGCCACGGAGGCATTGCCACCAGCAATTAAACCCCTTGAGCTGAATCCTACTGGTTAACTCCATTGATCAGTCAACAAGTCGAACACTAGGACTGTGTTATGTATTATTATTATTATTATTTTACTGACACAAAAACACAGTACGTCGCAGCAAATGAGATCTCTATGCTGGATTTCGTATCACAAAATCACAAGTCAAACACTTCCCAAGTGTGTAGGACTGTGTGATGTATTTTCGAATGATGCGCACAGATCCAACTACCTTTTGCAGTTGACAGATCGTGATTTTGTCAATGTTTATTGTTTCCAAATGCCAGCTGAGATCTTTTAGCACGGCACCCAGTGTGCCGATGACCACTGGGACCACCTGTACTGGTTGATGCCAGAGTCTTTGCAGTTCAGTTTTGACGTCTTGATAGCGACTGAGTTTTTCCTGTTGTTTTTCCTCAATGCGACTGTCACCTGGGAAGGCGACATCAATAATCCAGATTTTTTTTCTTTTCCACAATCGTGATGTCTGGTGTATTGTGTTCCAAAACTTTGTCAGTCTGGATTCGAAAGTCCCACAGTATTTTTGCGTGTTCATTTTCCATGACCTTTGCGTTTACAATGCCAGAAAACCGCACAATTATTATTATTACTATTATTATTATTATTATTATTATTATTATTATTATTATTATTATTATAAACACAACAATATTAGTACACAAGATCCAGCAAACAAGATCCCTATACTGGTTGTTGTATTGGATCACACGTCAGACACTTCCCAAGTGTCTAGGACAGGGGTCCTCAAACTAAGGCCCGGAGGCCGGATGCGGCCCTCCAAGGTCATTTACCCGGCCCTCGCTTAAGGTCAACCAAAGTCCGAAATGACTTGAAAGCACACAACAACAACAACAATCCTATCTCATGAGCCAAAAGCAGGACCACACTTCCCATTGAAATGCTAATAAGTTTATATTTGTTAAAATTGTTCTTCATTTTGATTATTGTATTATTTTTAAGTGGTTTTTTTTGTATTACAAATAAGATATGTGCAGTGTGCATAGGAATTCATTCATGTTTTTTTTTCTTCAAATTATAGTCTAGTCCTCCAACAGTTTGAGGGACTGTGACCTGGCCCTCTGTTTAAAAAGTTTGACGACCCCTGGTCTAGGACTATGTGATGTATTGGCAAATAATGCGTGCAGATCCCAGTAAGGTGGCCTTTTGCAGCTGGCAATTTTTGCAGCTTGCAATTTTGTCAGTGCCGATTGTGTTTAAGTGCAGGCCAAGGTCCTTAGGCACTGCACCCAGTGTGCCAATCACCACTGGGACCACCTTTACTGATTTGTGCCAGAGTCTTTGCAATTATTAGTATTGTTGTTTTTTGTTGTTGTTATTTGGGATGTCCATTTCCAGAATCTCCACTAACCATCTAAAGTCCCCAAAATAAATTATTGTTCAAGTGCATACCTCTCCCTAGCAATTCTAGGTCTTCCAGCGCAACACTGGAGGACCTAGAAAATGCCTAGAGATAACATGTCTGAATGCATAAACTAGCATTGTTTCTCCCAGGGCTGTCAGGGGTAACCTGATTGCACTATGTAACACATGTTTTGTTCCTGGGTTATCAATGTCATTTCCTAATTGCTTCTATCATAAAACCATGGCAAACATTTTGTTTTCATGGGAGGGACATCCTGCTATAGCACGTATAGGTTTTCAATGCATACCTCGTAGTGTCTCAACCAATTCTACATAGTTTGTGGCAGCCATAGTTTGTGGAGGAGAGGAACTACTTTCAAAGTAAACACTGCACAATTAAACAGGAAATAACATGTTCAAACCAGGAACAGAAAATATTTTCAAATTACATAGTGTTATTGGAGCATCACCTCTGCAAAGGAGTGCAAGTAACGCCTGTCTTTCCAAAACTCTTTTGTTTTACAGCCAGGTGGAGGAGACGGGGCTGGTGCTCTCCTTGGAGCAGACGGACCGGCAAGGGGAGCATCGCCGGCTGCCCCCGCCCTGCCTCGAAGGGCTGGACTCCGATGGGGCGCTCGATGAACTGGACCCCAACGGCGGGGACACCATTATCAACCTCAGCTTCGGTATGGAGTGACAGCAGGGAGATTCTTGGGCCAAAGAGGGTGGAAGCTAAAACCACAGACCCAGGGTCTGTTTTGTAATGGAGAAACTGCAAGTCGCTTCTGGTGTGAGAGAGTTGGCTGTCTGCAAGGACGTTGCCTAGGGAACGTTGCCTGGATGTTATGTTTACCATCCTTGTGGGAGGCTTCTCTCAAATCCCCACTCCTCATACCATCCTTGTGGGAGACTTTTAATATATTCCCACATGAGAAGCTGGAGCTGACAGAGGGAGCTCATCCGTGCTCTCCCCCGGATTCGAACCTCCGACCTGTCGGCCTTCAGTCCTGCCGGCACAAGGGTTTAACTCACTGTGCCACCGAGGGCTCTATCTTTTTTGATAATCTGGATTATATGGCAGTGTAGATGTGGAAATAGTCTCCAGGGCAGCAGAAAATGAGCTTGGCCCTTCCTCAATGTGACATCCTTTCAGATATTTAAACTATCGTAGAATCAAAGAGTTGGAAGAGACCTCATGGGCCATCCAGTCCAACCCCATTCTGCCAAGAAGCAGGAATATTGCATTCAAATCACCCCTGACAGATGGCCATCCAGCCTCTGTTTAAAAGCTTCCAAAGAAGGAGCCTCCACCACACTCCAGGGCAGAGAGTTCCACTGCTGAACGGCTCTCACAGTCAGGAAGTTCTTCCTCGTGTTCAGATGGAATCTCCTCTCTTGTAGTTTGAAGCCATTGTTTCGCGTCCTAGTCTCCAGGGAAGCAGAAAACAAGCTTGCTCCCTCCTCCCTGTGGCTTCCTCTCACATATTTATACATGGCTATCATATCTCCTCTCAGCCTTCTCTTCTTCAGGCTAAACATGCCCAGTTCCTTAAGCCGCTCCTCATAGGGCTTGTTCTCCAGACCCTTGATCATTTTAGTCGCCCTCCTCTGGGCACATCCCAGCTTGTCAATATCTTTCTTGAATTGTGGTGCCCAGATTTGGACACAATATTCCAGGTGTGGTCTAACCAAAGCGGAATAGAGCATGGGGAGCATGACTTCCCTAGAGCTAGACACTATGCTCCTATTGATGCAGGCCAAAATCCCATTGGCTTTTTTTGCCGCCACATCACATTGTTGGCTCATGTTTAACTTGTTGTCCACGAGGACTCCAAGATCTTTTTCACACGTACTGCTCTCGAACCAGGCATCACCCCCATTCTGTATCTTTGCATGTCCTCAAAGCCTTATAATAAAGTTCTTGGATTCCAGATCTTGGGCCACTTTGGTGGCCCTTCTCTGGACACCCTCCAGATGGTCAATATTATGGGGAAATTGGGTCCCCTACATAATTCCCATAATTCCCATCCCGGTCTCAAGCCCTCCATGTGCTTTCTCCTCTTCTCCTAGAGCTTCGTGGGCCAAAGATCTTGGCCTTCCTCCGTCCTGCCAACATCAGCGAAGAGGAGCTGGAGATGGACCCCAAGCGCTTCTGCAGCCCGGACCTCCAGAAACTGCTGGGACCCATTTTCGACCCACCCGGGGCCCAGAACCAAGGAGGGGGCACCGGGCGAGCAAAGCCTCCGGCTGCCCCACTCAAGCCATCATCCGTGGTCAAGAAGATCTTTGGAAACAGCAGCCCAGTAAGGACCCTGTGGGCAATGGTGATGGGTAATTGCGGCCATATCTGGAAGCTGAGGGAGGAGGACATTGCCTATTACACTATGTAACAGAATTGGAAAAATATTCTATTCCTGGTTTGAAAATGTTATTTCCTCAGGCATGGGCAATCCATGGATCTAAAGGACTTACAAAACTAGAGGGCGCTGGTACTTACTTACTTACTTAGGCGATCCCTCGTTGGACGAGTAAGATGGTCTTCCATCATGAGTTTCCTTGTGGGTCCGCATGTGGCTGTGGAGCCCTATTCTTGCTCTGCATCTTCTCCCACAGTGAAGGCATTGGTTTCCAGGCGGAAGGCGGTCCCGGTCGGGGTTGGCTTGACGCGCCTTCCTCCTGGCACGTTTCTCTCTTTCACCCTCCACTCGTGCCTCCTCGAATTCTGCAGCACTGCTGGTCACAGCTGACCTCCAGCTGGAGCGCTCAAGGGCCAGGGCTTCACAGTTCTCAGTGTCTATGCCAGAGTTTTTAAGGTTGGCTTTGAGCCCATCTTTAAATCTCTTTTCCTGTCCACCAACATTCCGTTTTCCGTTCTTGAGTTCAGAGTAGAGCAACTGCTTTGGGAGACGTGGTCAGGCATCCGGACAACGTGGCCGGCCCAGCGGAGTTGATGTTGGAGGACCATCGCTTCAATGCTGGTGGTCTTTGCTTCTTCCAGCACACTGACGTTTGTCCGCTTGCCTTCCCAGGAGATTTGCAGGATTTTCCGGAGGCAGCGCTGATGGAATCGTTCCAGGAGTTGCATGTGACGTCTGTAGACAGTCCACGTTTCACAGGCATATAGCAGGGTTGGGAGGACAGTAGCTTTATAGACAAGCACCTTGGTATCCCTACGGATGTCCCGGTCCTCAAACACTCTCTGCTTCATTCGGGAAAATGCTGCACTCGCAGAGCTCAGGCAGTGTTGTATTTCGGCGTCAATGTTGACTTTGGTGGAGAGGTGGCTGCCAAGGGAGCGGAAATGGTCAACATGCTTTGCTTCTAAAGTGTTGCTAAAGTTCTGGTGGTGAAAATTTCAGAACTCTAACAAAACTTTCAAAATTTCATTATTATTTCATTATTGGTCATTTTTATGACAGAACCAATTAAGACAGGGGTCCTCAAACTGTCTAAACAGAGGGCCAGAGGGTCTAAACAGAGGGCCAGGTCACAGTCCCTCAAACGGTTGGAAGGCCAGATTATAATTTGAAGAAAACATGAATGAATTCATATGCACACTGGACATATCTTATTTGTGGTGCAAAAAACACTTAAAAACAATACAATAATTAAAATGATGAGCAATTTTAACAAATATAAACTTATTAGTATTTCAGTGGGTGTGTAGACATGCTTTTGGCTGATGAGATAGGATTGTTGTTGTTGTTATTGTTGTGTGCTTTCAAGTCGTTTCACACTCAGGTTGAGCCTGAGTGAGGGGCAGGTAAATGACCATGGAGGGCTGCATCTGGCCCCCGGGCCTTAGTTTGAGATTGTTGTTGTTATTGTGTGTTTTCAAGTCGTTTTACACTCAGGTTGACCCTGAGTGAGGGCCGGGTAAATGACCATGGAGGGCCGCATCTGGCCCCCTGGGCTTTAGTATGAGATTGTTGTTGTTGTTGTTGTTGTGTGCTTTCAAGTCGTTTCACACTCAGGTTGACCCTGAGTGAGGGCTGGATATATGACCTTGGAGGGCCGCATCTGGCCCCCGGGCCTTAGTTTGAGATAGTTGTTGTTGTTGTGTGCTTTCAAGTTGTTTCACACTCAGGTTGACCCTGAGTGAGGGCCGGGTAAATGACCTTAGAGGGCGCATCTGGCCCCCGGGCCTTAGTTTGAGGACCCCTGAATTAAGACCTGCCGTTTTTAAAGGAATTTTGAAAGTTTTGTTAGAGTTCTGAAATTTTCACCACCAGTACTTTAGCAACACTTTGGAAGCAAAGCACCAGCACCCCCTAGTTTTGTAAGTATTCTGAACCATGGATTGCCCATGTCCAATTTTCTGTTTAATTGTGCAACACGTTGAAAGGAGTTGTTTTACTCCAGAAACTCCATTTTTGTGGCTGCAACAAACTAGTTCGAATTGGTTGAAACTCAATGAGATACTCATTGAAAAACTAGAGCAAAATGTGCAGGAGGATGTCAGGCAAAAACAAAGTTTTTGTAGTTTTATCAACTTTTTCCATGCTTTTTATGATAAAACCAATTAGGAAATGACATTTATAACCCAGGAACAAACATGTTACATAGTGTTATTGGCTTGCCAGCAAGAAAAGAGAAGGTAAAGATGGAATGCCACTTTGCTATAGCAAAATAGATGAATGCCGCCACCAATCTTCTCCTTCTCCTTAGGCCGAGCTGCCGGAAGAACTGCTTTTCGACATGGAGAACGTCCAGAAACTCTTTGCTTCCAACAAGGAGCCTCAGCCGATGGAGACCACACTGCAGGTAACTCTAGGTTATGGGTTGACGTACAACCAATTATTAAAGTTCAGAGGACAGGAAATAATACTCAAGTCGCAGGAAGAATTGACCTTGATAGATTCCACCATCTCATGGTTTCATTATCATCAGATTAGGGAAAATTTTTAAGATAGACAATAAAATAGGCTTCGAAACGAAAAAAACCTTCTGGGACAAAATATTAAACACAGACACAAAAATTATAAGAAAAATATATAACCAACTTCTAATATGGGCCACTGAAACAGAGCAAATAAAAAACAATATGATAAACTGGTCAAGAGATATAGGCCGTTCCATACCCCTAGCAGACTGGGAAGAAATCTGGCAAGAAAAAATTAAATACACATACGCTACAGACCTTAAGGAGAATTGTTACAAGATCTTTTACAGGTGGTACCTAACACCAATGATACTCGCAAAAATTACCAAAGATAAATCAAAAGATCGATGTTGGAAATGTGGAAAGAAAAAAGGGGAATTCATCCATATGTGGTGGAACTGTAGAAAAGTAAAAAATTACTGGACACAAATACACAAAAAGATAGAAAAAAAATTAAATATAAAATTTGACCGAAAACCAGAAATATTGCTATTAGGATTACTAGACTTTAAATTGGGGAAAAAAACGAAGATAAGATATTTTTCTATCTAACAGCAGCAGCTAGGATAACATTAGCAAAAAAGTGGAAAACCAAAGAAATCCCAACAACGGAACAATGGATAACAAAAATAATGGAAATAATAAACATGGATATATTGACGCAGAGAATTTCACAAAATTACACAAAACCCCAAAAAACTGATTGGAAAGTAGTGTTAGAATTCATAAAAGGGGAAAATAAAGAGATGTATATAATGGACCTATAATTGAAATCCAAGGACTATATGCTTACCTATTATGCTTACCCTCTGTTTTTAATGTAAACTTGTAAAATAAAAATTAATAAAAATATTTTTTTTAAAAAATAAGTTATGGGTCAGGAAAGGGCTTGCATGTGTTTAACTTGCTGTCTCGCTCTGAGAGAGTGACTTGCCAATGGTCGCACAGTGCTTATCATGGCTCACCAGAGATTCAAACCCTGATCTCGAAGGGCGCTTCCAGACAGCACTAAATCATGGGTTTTCAACAGGCAAAAAATCCCGGGACTCCAGAAGAAGTCTGCATACAGACCTGTTGGTCCCGGGATTTCTGCCTCCATTGTCCAGACTTGATGCTTTGTTGCAAGATTTAGAGGCTTCCAAAATGGCCGCCGTGCTTATCATGGCTCACCAGAGATTCGAACACTGATCTCGAAGGGCGCTTCCAGACAGCACTAAATCATGGGTTTTCAACAGGCAAAAAATCCCGGGACTTCAGAAGAGGTCCGCATACAAACCTGTTGCTCCTGGGATTTCTGCCTCCGTTGTCCAGACTTGATGATTGTTGCAAGATATTGAGGCTTCCAAAATGGCTGCCGTGCTTATCATGGTTCACCAGAGATTCGAACCCTGGTCTCGAAGGGTGCTTCCAGACAGCACTAAATTATGGGCTTTCAACAGGCAAAACATCCCGGAACTTCAGAAGAGGTCCGCATGCAGACCTGTTGGTCCCGGGATTTCTGCCTTCGTTGTCCAGACTTGATGCGAGATATTGAGGCTTCCAAGATGGCCGCTGCAGGTCTTCCGTTGGAAACTTTGGCGGCCTGGTAAAAACCCTCAAGATGCATATATTCGGATATGCAGAGAATTGCTGCAGCGAATCACTGCAAAAGTTCGGTTCTTTGTCCTGGCCAGAGAAAATGCGCCATCCACACATTTCATAAAGTTTCTGGCACACAGACAAAGTTTTTGCCTTCTACTCAAGCGTCACCTTCTTTTTAGGAACCAACCAATCAGGAACAAATATCTAAAACCCAGGAACAAACCCAGATTTTTTAAAAAATATCTCGTGATTGCAGGGACATACAGACATTCGAAGATCCGTGTATTCGACTCAAAACCAACTGGAAATCTCACATTTTTTGCCTTTTGTAGCGATTGCTTCCACATTTACAGGGAACAGTGTCTGACCACTCTACTGTTTGCTGTGGAAGCTCCTGGGATAAAGGTACTATCTGGACGGGCCCTAAAAGTTTTAATCTAATGCACAAAGTCCCTAAACTATGTTTGTTCATCCCTAAATAGTATTTGGCTTTTCTGTTGCACTCCAGAGCAGGATTCCCTCTGACTTTGAACACCACATAGTTGAGTTAAAATAGCAAGCAGTTTATTGAAAGTAATAAAAGCCAAAGCAATAAAAAGTAATCCACAGTAAAAGGTAAATCCAATAGATTAAGAAGAAAAAAGAGCAATTAATCCAAAGAGAAATAGTCCAAAAAAAGTCCATAAAACTAGAGCTTGATTTCAAAGGCAGAATAACAGCAAAGACACTTAAAACAGGAAGCAAACAAAGACAAAGGTCCAGGAACTTGGCATGAAGAACTTATTGTGAATCCAACATTGCTTCGTCTGAAGCTAGATTCAGTACTTGGCACTTATATCCCTACTTTGGATAGGCGTCTTGTTCTGTATGAAAGAAAAAGGTTTCTAATAGGGCATGTCCTACATAATAAGGGACACTTGTCAGCTCTATAAGCAACAACCTTTCCAACCCTCCAAAAAAGGACATCTCTTAATAAAAAGGTCACAATCCAAAGCTGAAGCTGGTTCTGGAAATATATTTTACCTCTGTGCTAACTTTCTCACCCACTGCAACGGCAGTTGACTCTCTGCTGTCCTTATAGGATTACGAAGGCCTGGACTTGGAAATGCTGGCTCCGTACATCTCGATGGACGACGACTTCCAGCTCAGCAGTACCGACCACCCTCCGTGGCTGGCTGAGAAGCGTGCTGCAGACGCCGGGGCAGGGGTCCGTCAGGGTTCTCCGCCCCCGCGCCCTCGCTCCCGGAGTTTCCATGGCGTCTCCCCTCGCCCGCCTGAGCTGGCCGGTCTCCCCCGCTGGGGCAGCGACACCAGCCTGAGCAACGCCCGTTCGGCCCAGGCGCCAGGAGGCGGGCAGTGCGGGGCAGGGCAGGTGGTGGAGATGGTGGCCTCAGTCAAGATCCAGGCCATGCCAGAAGGGACCAATCCAAATGGCCAGGGGGCCTTCGCTGGGAGCAGGAAGAGGTGAGGAAGCATAGGGTTGGAAGAGATCCAACGGCCATTCAGTCCAACCCCCTAAGATATGGATGGATGGATGGATGGATGGATGGATGGATGGATGGATAGGAAGGAAGGGAGGAAGGAATCGTAGAGTAGGAAGAGACCACAGGGGCTGTCCAGTTTAACCCCCTAAGATATTGGATGGATGGATGGATGGATAGGAGTCCTAGAGTTGGAAGAGACCCCAAGGTCCAGCCAATGCACCCTCCTAAGTTAAAGATGGATGGATGGATGGATGGATGGATAGGAGTCCTAGAGTTGGAAGAGACCTCAAGGGCCATCTAGTTCAACCTCCTAAGATATTGGGTGGATGTATGGATCTATGGATGGAGAGATAGGAGTCCTAGAATTGGGAGAGGCCCTAAAGGCCAGCCAATTCAACCTCCTGAGATAAAGATCCGAAGATGGATGGATGGATGCATTCATGCATGCATGGATGGATAGATAGATAGACAGGAATCCTAGTGTTGGAAGATACCCCAAGGTGCAGCCAACACAGCCTCCTAAGTTAAAGATGGATGGATGGATGGATAGATAGGAGTCCTAGAGTTGGAAGAGACCTCAAGGGCCATCCAGTTCAACCCTCTAAGATATTGGATGGATGGATGGATAGGAATCCTAGAATTGGAAGAGACCCCCGGAACTGTCCAGTTTAACCCCCTAAGATATTGGATGGATGGGCAGACAGACAGGAGTCCTAGAGTTGCAAGAGACTCAAGAGCCAACCAATTCAGCCTCCTAAGGTATGGATGGATGGGTAGGTACATAAATGGGAAGAGACGCTATGGGCCAGCCAAGTCAACCAAGATAAAGATCAATGGATGGATGGATGGATGGATGGATGGATGGATGGATGGATGGATGGATGGATAGATAGATAGATAGATAGATAGATAGATAGATAGATAGATAGATAGATAGATAGATAGGAGTCCTAGAATTAGGAGAGGCCCTGAAGGCCAGCCAATTCAACCTCCTATGATAAAGATCAATGGATGGATGGATAGAAATCCTAGAGTTGAAAGAGACCCCAAGGTCCAGCCAATGCACCCTCCTAAGTTAAAGATAGATGGATAGATAGAAGTCCTAGAGTTGGAAGAGACTTCAAGGGCCATCTAGTTCAACCTCCTAAGATATTGGATGGATGGATCTATGGATGGATAGATAGGACCTAGAATTGGGAGAGGCCCTAAAGGCCAGCCAATTCAACCTCCTAAGATAAAGATCAAAGGATGGATGGATAGATAGGAAGCCTAAAGTTGGAAGAGACCCCAAGGTCCAGCCAATGCAGCCTCCTAAGTTAAAGATGGATGGATGGATAGATAGGAGTCCTAGAGTTGGAAGAGACCCCAAGGGCCATCCAGTTCAACCTCCTAATATAATGGATGGATGGACGGACGGACGGACGGACAGATAAATAAATAAATAGATAGGAGTCCTAGAATTGGGAGAGACCCTGAAGGCCAGCCAATTCAACCTCCTAAGATAAAGATCAAAGGATGGATGGATGGGAATCCTAGAGTTGGAAGAGACCCCAAGGTCCAGCCAATGCAGCCTCCTAAGTTAAAGATGGATGGATGATGGATGTATGCATGCATGCATAGGAGTCCTAGAGTTAGAAGACCCCCCAAGGGCCATCCAGTTCAACCCCCTATGATATTGAAAGGATGGATGGATAGACAGGCAGGCAGGCAGACAGGAGTCCTAGAGTTGGGAGAGACTCCAAGGGCCATCCAACCCCATAAGATAAAGATTGGATGGATAGATGGCTAGCTGGCTGGATAGATAGATCTCCTAGAATTGGGAGAGACTCCCAAAGGCCATCCAGTTCAACCCCCTAAGATAAAGATATATGGATGGATACGAGTCCTAGAGTTGGGAGTGACCCAAGGGACATCTGCTCCATTCCCATTCAGGCAGGGAGGAGGACATGATCTAATCCTTCCTGACAGGTGGCCATCCAGCCTCTGCTTATAGACCTCCAGAGAAGGATACTCCATCAGACTTGTAGGACTCTCTTCTCCTGCAATTTGAACCCATGGCTCCATGTCCTGGTTTGTAGAGCAGCAGAAAATAAGCTTGCTCCCTCCTCTATTATATACTTTCAGATATTTAAACATGGGTCTCACGTCCCCTTCTCTCAGCTATTCCAGTTGAGATCTGTCCACAGCAGAATAGAGTGGGATTACGACCCCCCTTGATCCAGGCAATATATTATCGCATTGGCTTTTTTAGCTGCCACAACATATTGGACAGTATTTGAACCCTGTGTGTTGCACCCTCCCATGGTCTCCCTTCACAGATCCCGGGAGCTGAGCTTGGAAGAAGAGAGGGACATCTTCCTGGAAGCCAGTCCTGCCAAGCGTGCTCACGGCCACGAGGCTGATGCCTTTCTGATGCCCTCCCTCAGCCTGGTACGTACTGAATTTCCCCGTTCAGCGTTCACCAAGCTCCCTGAAGCCTCATGTGTGTCTTCTGGGCCTGCTTGGACCTGTCTAGCTCCTTCTTTCCCGTCCCATCAGGGTTTCCTTCTGAGCGTTGAAGAGTGTTTGGATGCCAGGTCTGGAGGTGCCATGTCCCTGGGCAAGAAGCTTCTCTCTTTGGAGGAACCCATGGGTGAGTATGGCCCCCGAGATCTAGTCTAGCTCCAGCAACTGGAATCCTAGGGCTCGGATCCTGGAGTCTGTGTTTCCCAATGGGTTTACTTGAAAACTGAATGCCTGAAGAAAGCCTCTGGATCACGACTGGCACGTTGTTTTAGGATCTCGGTTTGTACAGGGAATGATCTGAGTTAGCATGCCATGTTTGTTCCAGTGACAGCTTTCCGCATGCTGTTTGTCTCAGAACTTCCTGAAAAAGAGCTAACAGCCTTTCTTTCCTTTCCTTTCTTTCTCTGCTCCATGTTTCCTTCCTTCCTTCCTTCCTTCCTTCCTTCCTTCCTTCCTTCCTTCCTCCTTTCCTTTCCTTTCCTTTCCTTTCCTTTCCTTCTCCTTTCCTTTCCTTTCCTTTCCTTTCCTTTCCTTTCTTCCTTTCCTTCTTCCCTCCCTTTCTTCCTCTCCTTTCCCCATTCCTTTCCTATTTTCTCCTTCCTTCCCTTTCTTACTTCTTTCCTTCCTTCCTTTCCTTTATCTCTTCTTCCCTTGGCCCTTCCTTCCTCCCTTTCCCCTATCCTTTCCTTTCCTATTTTCTCCTTCCTTCCCTTTCTTACTTCTTTCCTTCCTTTCCTTTCCTTTCCTTTCCTTTCCTTTTTCTCTTCTCCTTCCTTCCTTCTCCTTCCCCTTTCTTCCTTTCCCTTCCCTTTCCTTTCTCTCTTCTCCCTTCCTTCCTTCCTTTTCCCCTTTCCTTGCCTTGCTTCTTTTTTCTCTCTTCCCTCCCTTCCTTTTCTTCCCTTTCCTCTTCCCTCCCTTCTTTCTTTCTTCTTTCCTTTCTTCCTTCTTTCCTCCCTCTCCTCTCTCTTCTCTTTCTTGCCTTTCCTCTTATTTTCCTCCATTCTTCCCTCCCTTCTTTCCTTTCTATCTTCCTTCATTCTTTCCTTTTTCTTTTCTCCTTCCTTCCTTTCCTTTCTTCTTCCTTTGACCCTTCCTTCATTTCAACTTTTTTTCTTGCTTCTTTCTTTTCTTTTCTCCTCCTTCCCCTTCCCTTCCTCTTCCTCTTCTTTCCTTTCTCTTTTCTTTCTTCCTTCCCTTTTTCCCCCTCCTGCTTTCCTTCCTTCCTTTCTTTTTTCTTCCTTCTTTCCCCTCTTTCCTTCCTTTCCCCTTTCCTTTCCTTCTTCTTTCTTCCTTCTCCTTCCTTCCTTCTTTCCTCCTTCTTCCTTTTCTTTCTTTTTTTCTTCTTCTTTTCTTTCTTTCCTTCCTTTCTCCCTTCCTTCTTTCCTTTCTTCTTTCTTTCTTTCCTTCCTCCTCTCCCTCTTCTCTTCCTTGGTGTTGCTTTCTTCACCTCTTTCCTTTATTTTCTCTCTCCCTCCCTCCTTTCCTTTTTATTTACTCCTTCCTTACCTTCCTTTCTTCCCATCCTTTCCTTTTTTCTTTCCTTCCTCCCCTCGCTCTTCTCTTCCTTCATTTTCCTTTATTCTTTTCTTTCCTTTATTTTCCTCCCTCCCTATTCTCTTTTTCTTTTCCTTCCCTTCTTTCCTTTTTCTTTTCTCTTCCTTTACTTCCTTCTTCCCTTGCTCCTTCCTTATTTTCAATGTTTTTTTCTTTGCTTCTTTTCTCCCTTCCTCTCACCTTCCCTTTTCCCTCCCTTCTCTTTTAGCACCCCTCCCTCCCCTCCCTCTCCCTGATTTCCTAAGGTCTTCCTCTTTCCTTTTTTCTCCCTCCCTCTTTCATTCTCCTTCCTCTTCCTTTACTTTCTTTCCTTTCTTTCTTTTCTTCTTTCCTCCCTTCCTTCCCTCTCTTCCCTCTCTTCCTTTCCCTTCCTTTCTCTTTCATCTTTTCCTTTCTCTTTCCATCCTTCCCTTCCACTCCCATCCCTTCCTCTCATCTTCCTCCCTTCTTCTTTTCCTTTCTTCTTTCATTGCTTCTTTCTTTTCTTTTCTTTTCTCCTTTCTTCCCTTCCTCTTGACTTCATTTCATCTTCCCTCTTGCCTCCCTTCTCCCTTTCTTTTCTTCTTTCTTTCTTATTTCCTTGCTTCGTTCTTTTCTCCTTCCTTCCATTCCTCTTGTCGTCATCTAATCTTCCCTCCCTTTCCTTTCTTTCCTTTCTTTATTTCCTTTCTTTTTTCCTCTTCCTCCTTCCTTCCTTCTCTCCTTCCTTCCCTCCCTCTTTCCTTTCTTCCTTCTTCTTTCTTCTTTTCTTTCTTTCTTTCTTTCTTCTTTCCTTCCTCTCCTCCCTCTCCTCTTCCTTGATTTTTTTCTTCCCTCTTCCCTTCCTTCTCCCTTTCCTTTCTTCTTTCCTCTCCTCCTCTCCCTTGATTTTCCTTTCTTCTCCTCTTTTCTTTAATTTCCTCCCTCCCTTGTTCTCTTCCTCTGCTTTGCCATCCTCTCTTCCCCCTTCCAGGTCTCTTAGGGGACATGCTGCCTTTCGTGGTGGACGGCCCGGCCCTCTCCCAGCTGGCCCTGTACGACGGGGAGGACGAGGCCTCCTTGGTGCGGAGCGGAGGGCACTTCCAGCTCGGGGAGGAGCTCCTGGTGGAGCTGGACCAGGCCACCTGAGCGGGCAAGCGAGCGGGCGAACAGGCGGGCAGCCATCGCCGCACCTTCACCCCACACTCCTGCTCCGCAGCCGGGACAAACGGAACCAAATCCAACCCCCAAATCATCCACGAGAGGCCGAGCTTTGGGGTGGAGGGGAGGGTCTCCTTCTTCTTCCTCCTCCTCCTCCTCTTCCTCTTCCTCCCTCCGACCCCTCGTTGCCCCTTAACCTCCGCCAGCATCCTCAGAAATCCTTCCTACCTCAGTCCCCTCCCTCCCTTTTGCAGACGAGGGAGGAAAGCCCCACCAAACACAGTAGGAGTCTGGGTCAAATCGGGACTCGGTCTCCCGTGAGACCGGCAGGCCCCCAATTCGGTGCTAACGTACCCTTCCCGCGGTTCCTACGAAGAGGAACAGAAGGGTTGGGGTGGGGGGTCACTTTCAGCACTTAGTCCCTATCAGTGGCAAGAGTCCGTTCTCTTACAGGCTCCCCAAGAGACGGGGAGCCCCATTTGGGGTCACTTTAGGACGTCCTGAGGTGCCGAAGGACAACGCGAGTCCTTCCAAACCAGAGATGCAAACCTCTCGCTTTGGCGCCAAACCCTTTTGGCTTTGGCCGAGAAGGTCCCCGAGTTCCCAGCTTCTGGCACGAGTGCATCCATTCCTGAAGGAATCGGGACCACCCAAACTTTGGGAGATTGTTCAAAAAAATATATAATAGGGAAAGTTTGGGACTTCTGCTCCATGGGAAACGTCTAGGCTTGGTTTCCCCGAACCGTCCAGAATAGATCCCAGCTGCAACGGCAGATTGGGTAAGCTGAGAAATATAAGTTTTGACTAGGATAGACTGCTCTTGCAGCCGGTGCTCTATAGTCCAAATCTATGATTAATATCCCTGAAGTGGCCAAAAGTTATTTCCCCCAGAGAAAGGGAAAGCGTTGGCCATTTTGGCCCTCTTTATGGTCTGTTTATGGTGACCTTTCCAAAAGGGGTAGGGAGCGCAGTCGAACAACAACGCTCCCTCGTTGAACGTATTTACACGTCTCCAGTAGTCCCTGCTCATCATCCTTAATATTTAATTTAACTCTAATTTTAGAATTAACACTTTACTTTGGTTCTTTCAAGGTCCCAAATAGCAATCTTTGGCTTCCGGAAGCGAAACCCAAGTTTGGACCTGATTGCACCAAATTTTTAAAAGTTTTGCAGACAATGGACCGTGATCCCAATCGAGAAGACAATTTTTAAAGGAACAGGCCTGTTGTTTACAATCCGAAACTTGAAAAGACAATCTTGAAAAAGGCATGTTCGATGTGTTGTCGAAGGCTTTCRTGGCTGGAATTGCTGTGAGTTTTCCGAGCCGTCTGGCCATGTTCCAGAAGCATTCTCTCCTGACGTTTCGCCCACATCTATGGCAGGCATTCTCAGAGGTTGTGAGATTTATATATCTGTGGAATAATGTCCAGGATGGGAGAAAGAACTCTTGTCTGCTTGAGGCAAGTGTGAATGTTGCAATTGATCACCTTGATGACAAAAACAACAACAACAACAACAACAATAATAATAATGATAAACAACTTTATACCCCGCCATCATCTCCCCAAAGGGGACTCGGGGCAGCTCACATGAGGCCAAGCCCAGAAATGCCTTACAATACATTAGCATTGAATAGCCTTGCAGCTGCAAAGCCTGGCTGGTTGCTGCCTGGGGGTATACTTTGTTCAGAGGTGTTAGCTGGCCCTAACTGTTTCTTGTCTGGAATTCCCCTGTTTTTTGAGTATTGCTCTTTATTTACTGTCCTGATTTTAGAGGTTTTTTAAAATACTGGGAGCCAGATTTTGTTAATTTTCACGTTTTCCTCCTTTGTGTTGAAATTGTCCACATGCTTGTTAATGAATGGATTGTTTATTGATGGCCATGACATGAAATAATATACAATCTTTAAAACCACAATAAGCACTTTCCAGTATAAATATTAAAACTTCCTCCATATACTGGAATATCTTTAAAATTATAGTAGCAACGACATAATAACAATAACAAATGTCTTGATTTGAGTTTAAAACTACAATAAGAACTTTCCAGTAAAAAATATTAAAATGTATTCCATATACTGGCTCTTTAAAATTATAGTAGCAATGACTATAATAACAGTAACAAATGTCTGATTTGTATCATCCCAAACTATTTCCATTTCCATTTCTAGCCTCTGCTGATATATATATAAACCCAATTTTCTGTGTTCTCAAATAATATGCTGTAACACCTGTCAACAATGGATCCCCCAGGCAGCAGCCAGCCAGGCTTTGCAGCTGCAAGGCCATTCAGTGCTAATCAAGGCAGCCAATTGCAACCTTCACACTTGCCTCAAGCAGACAAGAGTTCTTTCTCCCACCCTGGACAAATATATAAACCCAATTTTCTGTGTTCTCAAATAATATGCTGTAACAACTCCCAACAAAGGATTCCCCCAGGCAGCAACCAGCCAGGCTTTGCAGTGCTTATCAAGATGGCCGATTGCAACATTCACACTTGCCTCAAGCAAACAAGAGTTCTTTCTCCCACCCTGGACATATATAGAAACCCAATTTTCTGTGTTCTCAAATAATATGCTGTAACACCTCCCAACAAAGGATTCCCCCAGGCAGCAACCAGCCAGGCTTTGCAGCTGCTTATCAAGGTGGCCAATTCCAACATTCATACTTGCCTCAAGCAAACAAGAGTTCTTTCTCCCACCCTGGACATATATATAAACCCAATTTTCTGTGTTCTCAAATAATATGGTGTAACACCTCCCAACAAAGGATTCCCCCAGGCAGCAACCAGCCAGGCTTTGCAGCTGCAAGGCCATTTAGTGCTTATCAAGGTGGCCAATTCCAACATTCATACTTGCCTCAAGCAAACAAGAATTCTTTCTCCCATCCTGGACATATGTATAAACCCAATTTTCTGTGTTCTCAAATAATATGCTGTAACACCTCCCAACAAAGGATTCCCCCAGGCAGCAACCAGCCAGGCTTTGCAGCTGCTTATCAAGGTGGCCAGTTCCAACATTCATATTTGCCTCAGGCAAACAAGAGTTCTTTATCCCACCCTGGACATTATTCCACAATTTTCCTAGTTTACAACAGACTTCAAAACCTCTGAGCATGCCTGCCATAGATGTGGACGAAACGTCAGGAGAGAATGCTTCTGGAATATGACCAGACAGCATAGAAAACTCAGCAATCCACTTAAAAAGGCACTTTTTTTCCTGAATTTTCAGGAAAACCTTGACTTGTTTTTGAAACAGTCAAGCGTGGGCTAAGCCTTCTTTTAGATTTAATGCTGAATTTAAATTGTCACCCATCAATATGAAAATAGGTTTTTCAGAAGTCAATCTTTCAGTAGTACCACTGATTTTGGGAGAACGGCATTTTGAAAAGGGGTTTTTTTTGGTACCCCGATCCCAAATTTCCCTCCAAAGCCAATGAGACTAACTTCAAAGTAACTTGAGGTTGTTTGCCTATCGCCGTCCGTTTTATTTAATTGCACGTTTACTCCGAAGTATGTCTCATGGTGACGTTCAATGGGATTAATATACTGCAACCTCCGATGCATCCTATTTGAATATTTCCAGCATGGGAAGGTATCTCATTCTGAGCCACGGTGGAGACAAGTACCAGGAACCCCACCATTGCCAGAAGTGACAAAAACGTAAACAAACCCTTCCGCTTCAGGACGAGACACCTTTCCATCCTATTTGAATATTTTCGGCATGGAAAGGTATCTCATTCTGAGCCACGGTGGAGACAAGTGCCAGGAAGCCCACCATTGCCGGAAGCGACGTAAACGTAAACAAACCCTTCCGCTTCAGGACGAGGCACCTTTCCATCCTATTTGAATATTTTCGGCATGGGAAGGTATCTCGTTCTGAGCCACGGTGGAGACAAGTGTCAGGAATCCCACCATTGCTGGAAGCGACGTAAATGTAAACAAACCCTTCCGCTTCAGGACGAGGCACCTTTCCATTCTGCCCAAAGAGGACGAGTTTTGCATAACCCAAAAAGAAGAGAAAACCTTGCATACACCTGCACTAGTCGTCGAAGAATTCAATTGCCTTACCTCTTAATATATCCTTTGATATAAAAGAGGCCACCGTAGTATTAGTTGACACTCATTGTAGGGTTGCCCCGAATTCTAGGAGGGAAAGACTCCTCGAGGAAATAGATTGGACAACGGCGCTCCTCCTCACGCCGGGAGGAGCGTCCTTGGACACACCATTCAAAACCATCGGTAACTTTCCCTGCGTGGATGCAGGTAACCCGAGTTATCAACCCATTTGTTTGGAAAGGAGGGGGACGACACACCAATTTCTCCCAATAGTCTCTCGGTTTGAAAACAAATGTTGGTTTTGTTTTTAAATCTCCGCAGTCCCTTGGCATTCGCCGCAAATCTTTTGGGATTTTTTTTCCAGTCATTTCCACTTGCCGCCCATTCATCCCTTCACTGTCCAAAGCTCTCGGAGGGCGAAACAAAGAGTGTTAGGAGACAGTCTAAGCGAAGCCAGTGTTTCTCACCCTTCCCTTGGGTGTGTGTGTTTGTGTGTATGTGAAATAATACGGGAATCGCCAGCCCCGGACACCATCGGAAGCTGAGCAGTCCCAACTTCTCTTCAGCCAGGCTTGCTAGCAATGGAAGAGGGAGCGTTTCTGTCTCCCGACTTGAGTAGGAAGCAATGAGGAAACCCAATTGCTCATCCTAAGCTTTCCCCTTTGCTGGCACCGTCCTTTTATCCCCAGGAAATGGGGCAACTAGGTAATAGGGACTCAGAAGAAAGGGAATACCTAGGCATTAAAGGGGGAACTTTGTATGGAAATCTCTGGACCTGAAGCCCATTCACACTATGCAATTACTGTAAGATCTCTGCAACTGTGGGCATTGCATTCCCAGCCAAATCGTGGATGCATCTTTTTTTTCGTGCCAGGAGCGACTTGAGAAACTACAAGTCGCTTCTGTTGTGAGAGAATTGACCGTCTGCAAGGCAACACCCGGATGTTTTGATGTCTTACTATCCTTGTGGGAGGTTTCTCTCATGTCCTCTCATGGGGAGCTGGAGCTGACAGAGGGAGCTCATCTGCGCTCTCCCCAGAGTCGAACCTCTGACCTGTTGGTCTTCAATCCTGCTGGCACAAGGGTTTGCCAGGTCCAGGAAAAGGGTCCTCCAGGTGTTTTGGACTTCAACTCCCACAATTCCTAACAATCAGGGGAATTGGCCAACAGCAAGTAGGATGTTAGGACTTCACTGCAACTGAATGCTATTAAATTAGCTGATTTCTGGAAGAAGTCTGCCACTGAGTTGTGTTAAAAGACCTATAGAGCAGGCATGGGCAAACTTCGGCCCTCCAGGTGTTTTGGACTTCAACTCCCACAATTCCTAACAGCCTCCGCTGTTAGGAATTGTGGGAGTTGAAGTCCAAAACACCTGGAGGGCTGAAATTTGCTGGAAGTCTTACTGTATGCAATTCAACTACTAAGATCCTGCAGAAACCTGGAGTTTGTAGTTTTGGGAAGCACTAGAGCTCTCAATTTGAAACTTCTGGATGACCCTCCCTAAACTATAAAACCTGGAGTTTGTAGTTTTGGGAAGCACCAGAGTTCTCAATTTGAGACTTCTGGATGACTCTCCCTAAACTACAAATCCCAGGATTCCACGGCAGTTGTGGTAGAGTCTGTGGATCTCAACCTGTGGGTCCCCAGGTGTTTTGACCTACAACTCCTCGAAATTCCTTTCCAGTTTACCAGCTGTTGAGATTTCTGGGAGTTGAAGGCCAAAACATCTGGAGACCACAGGTTGAGAACCACTGACTTAAAGCATGATGACCCTACCACAACTGCAACTCTAACTGCTTAGTGTGAATGGTCCTCCTTGTCCCAGTTTTCCTCCCGTTCCCCCAAAAGTGTTTGGAAGGGCAAGAGCAACTTCAGAAGGTTCGATTACAACGCCAAACTTTGGTTGGGTTCGGCCCCTGCTTCCACCCAACCTGGGGCCGTCCATCTGCCTTTTAGAAAAGACGTACCAACACAACATGGCCGGGACCAACATACCTTGGGAAGCGGGGAGACCGAGATGGTCCCCGCGTTTCCATTGTTCCCTTTACGAGCCAAGTTGAGCATTGCAGCCCTGAGAAGGGACCGACGCTGCCCTTACTGAACACCACTTTTGCCTCCTTCGCCATTCACCTGTGCCTTCACGTTGACAACGTCACCAGCA